TTTTTAATTTAGTGTGATTTTGTACAAACTAAACCCATGATGTATAGAAGAATCGAGTCAAACCATGCAATGTGGTGTCATAAGGTTATATTAATTTTAGTATGAAAAATTTAAGTTTCTGTTCGATTTTTTTCTTTGTTGTTGTGATGTTGGTGTTAAAATTGAGTGTCGGTTACAATTGGAAATCCACCGAATTGAAATTGCTTTTTCAGTTCTTACTATATAAACTTAAAACTAAAAAATACAATAGAACTTAATGCATGAATTGTATAGCCGAGACGAGAAAATTTCTTTACACAAGACAGATACACCACGTGCAGTGCCGATGGGTTTGTGCGTTTTGTCTTCAGTGATAAAACTGTAACGTCAGCAACCAGATTTCAAAGCTCCGAAGAACTAAATCAGAGTCGAGAGCTGAGGACGCATAATGATATGATGCCTGAAGTTTTTTTTTTTTTAAGCAATAAATTTTATAAATAAAACACATAATTACAACTAGACATCAGTTAGAATAAAGTCAAACAGCCATCGAGTTGAATCTAGTGGGAGGACTACATACTGAAGTGCATCTTAGAATTAGCCACACTAACTCACCCACTACACAATAAACTATACACTTCCACAAGGAGAGAATAAAACTTCTAAAGAGAAGAATCAAACTTTAAAAAGAAGAAACAAACAACACACCAGCAACAACACTCAAAACAACACAAAAACTAAATACAACTACACAAATACTAGATAAAACCTTCCCCGAACCGGCAACAATATGTGAAGCCACGAACTCAACACCTGGAGACGACCACCCATACGAATAAAAACCCTGTCCCAATACTCCCGCCGATTGATATCGAAATTGGACTAATTTGACTAAATTTTAGAAGGTTTTAGACCAATTTTTGATCGGTCTAAATTGCTGGACTAAAAAGAAAAATAACCTAAATTATTGGATTAAAATTGCAGCTTTCTCATGGTTAAACACTCATATTTTTTCGACTAATATATTCATCGTATACTTTAGAAAATAATAAGATAAACAAAAGCATGTTATTTCTCATTATAATTATGAATCTTTATTTAAGGGAACAAGCCTTTTTTCCACAAATATTTATTTAGAAATGAATTGTTTTTGGGATATTAATTTGTTTTTATTTGCGGCATTTTTACGTTATT